TATTTTAATATATATTATTTTCCAGTACTGGAGACTGAACCCAGGGGCACTCTACCACTGCGCTACATCCCTAGCCCTCTTATTTTTCATTTTGACACAGGGGCTGGCTAAATTGCCCAGGCAGAACTCTAACTTTCTATTTTATTTTTTAAATTTTTAAATTTTTTGGTTTTTCTCCGGTACCGGGAACCGAACTCACGACCTTGTGCTTGCCAGGCAGGCGCTTTTGCCACTGAGCTAAATACCCAGCCCCCAGAACTCTAACTTTCAATCCTCCTGCCTCAGCCTCCCTCAGTGCTAGGATTACAGGCACACACCACTGCACTCTGCTTGAAAATGATATTTGATGATGCCTAACATCTTTTCCAGCTCTAATGCTTTCTATGTACTTCACAAACTTAATATCGTAACACACAGCTAAATGCACAAACACAATTGTGAAGGTGGTATCAGACAAAAACATTTCCTTTTTTCTCTCCGGAAAAATGATTTAAATAGTTTTTCAAGTTAAAAAGCAAATTTCCACCTAGAAAATGAGTACTAATTTGGTGTGTAGTACTAGTACAGTGTAATAGTCAAGAGCATGAAGTGGGCCAAGTATGGTGGCACATATCTGTAATCCCAGCCCTGGGGAGGCAAAGAGATGATTCCAAGTTCAAGGCCAGTCCCAGCCTGGGCGAGTTAGCAAGATCCCATTTCAAAACAAAAAACAGGAGGGCAGGGGATATAGGATGTAGCTTAATGGTAGAGTTGTCCCTGAGTTTGATCACAATGGAAAAAGAATATTAACTAGAGACTGACTATTTGGCTTTACTATTTCCTAGTGTTGTGACCCTGAGCAAGACACTTAATGTTTTTGCGCTTAGTCTCTTGTACGACGGGAATAATAATAGCATCTATCAAATTGTGAGGATTAAAGGAGTTAGTATATGTAACATTCAGGGTTTAGAACAGGGGGTGCACCCAGTGCTAAAGCATTAGCCAATGCCATGACAGCACATTGCCTTTTCCTTCATGAGGCCTTTCCTGCCTATCCTAATCATATTCTAACTATAAGAGCTGATTATCCTATCTATAAACTATATAACCATTATTTGATTACATGTTAAGATCCTCTACCAGAATTGTCATTTAGATTTTTTAACATGACTGTAAGAGAGATTTTACACTGTGATCTACGTCTAAGTAGGTATATATCTGAAACAGAAGTTCTCTGCTTACTCTACTGCACGTGGTACACGCTGTTTTTTTTCTTTTCTTTTTTTTTAGACAGGGTCTCGCCATGCAGTTCAGGCTGGCCTTGAACCCACT